CAAGACGTGAAAACAATTTCGACAGGGGGGCAGGAGGGGGGGGGATACTTTATTTTTTACCTCACCCAGCAACAGACAGCACAAATAGATGATTGAACACTCTTAGTAGTCTTAGAACATACCAGGGTTACATGTTACTCAAGTATCAGGGATATAACTGACAGATGACCTGTCAATAAACACATTTCTTAAGTCGTAAAATAATGTGTCACCTGAGGCAACATCATACCAAGGATTTTGTGACTAATTATTTTTCTTGGTCTGGAGTAAACTCGTCATTATAATCTAAGGGTTGATGTGACAGACCATACATAGAGAACTTAATTAACTTCATATATTTGTGTATGTGTATATATAATCAGTTTGAGCTCTCTAATTAGCACATTTGCACATAATCTTGCGTAACTTTTAAAATGTTCATGCTTCGAGTCCGAAACACAATTTCATCGTTGATTGTTTTGTTTCCTTAATGCAGTACTTGTAAACTGGGATCGACATTCTGTCTGTTTCTCGTGATCATAAAGGTACGAGTACAATGATAATATACCTACTTAGGAAATTAACGTTCATACAAAACATTATCATTCCAAAGTCAACTATTATTGCCATCCGTTTAAAAAACAACAACAACGGCAACAACTGTAACAAAATGTATTTATATTATAAGCAATGCGAATAACGCAACATCAACAACAGCAGCATCAACAGAAACAACGCCACTTTTGCAACCACATGGCATAATGGAAGTGAAGTCTAAGCAGTGCTCTTGTTGGACTGAATTGCTGTTTCGCTGTCTGTGTGTTCCGTCTTACTTCTGCAGGCAGGGACGTAGAGTAGTCCCATAATGACACCGCCGATGACAGACAGGACACCCGACAGGTAGAAGCCTTCATCGTAGCCCCCGTAAGCCTGACTGATAACTCCTGAGACGGGAAGAAAATGGAGGTGTAAAACTATCGAGATTGGAAAACAATGTTCGAAACTTTAGCAAAAATCATCCCTTGTGTCGTAATTATACTCTTTATTGTTACCTCCGATGAAGATTATGTTATTGTTATTATCAGTTGACCGTAACAATCCCATCTTCCTCCTCACCAGAGGCGAAGCGTCTATATAATCAAATAATCACTGCTTCCCTTCCTAATTTTGAAACATTGTCGCAGTCAAATTCACCCATAGACGTGAACCTCATAAATTAAATGTAAAAAGACGTTCATAATCACCAATGAACAACAGACTATGCCTAACCTTCAAAACCGTTTCATTGCCACATAAATAGCCTGTTCGCCCCTATCGGGCCA